GTCTAGTCGATGAGTACTCCTTATTTTTCTTCATCAATGATACATTTAACATTTATTTAAAGTATATCTTGCTATGAGTTTCAATATTTGGCTAGAGACTATTACTATTAATTACACTGTGTTATATGTTTTCATTTTTGAAATGCTGAATTCGCTTATTATTTACCTTTTTTTCAGAATTTGGTTAAATTATTGTAATTTCAAAAAAAAAAAAAAAAAAAAAATATCTCTTGGTTTTCACATCTTTTCGTGATTTGCATGGAAATGCCTAAGATAAAAAAATATAATTTTATTTTAATATAAAACAAACTATTTTTCCATAACTTTTGCATATACGAGTATTTTTGTACGAAAGTTCAAAAAAAAAAACACTGAAAACAATTCCTCAGATATTTCAAAGTAATGATAATAATAATAAATTTATGAGAAAATATTAGCAAAATGATAACTAATAAAATTAAACTTAATAATAAAATTGAATAAAAAGTTAAAATCAAAATTAACCTTAAAATTAAAATAAAAAAAAATTAAAATTAAAATTAAAATTAAAATTAAAATTAAAATTAAAATTAAAATTAAAATTAAAATTAAAATTAAAATTAAAATTAAAATTAAAATTAAAATTAAAATTAAAATTAAAATTAAAATTAAAATTAAAATTAAAATAAAAATTATAATTAAAATTAAAATTAAAATAAAAAAAAAATTAAAATTAAAATTTAATTTAAATTAAAATAAAATCACTTCCATCATTATTGAATTCAGCCTTCTCTAAACTCTTCCAAAAGTGTTCGTGCTCAGTATTACTGTATTATCCATGGCTGTGTACATTTATTTTGTTGTTTATTTTTAATCATGCAGCTAAACAAAAATATGTTATATTCAATTTATATTGTACTTTTGTCTTTCATTCATTTGACCTAATCGTCTCAATGTACTAAGTTACTATTATTTTGATTCGATTTTTGATTTTTGCATTTATGTATATGTACTTATATGCAGCTATGTGTGTACTTTTATGGTACCTTATTAACTCTTTCATTTCTCTTAATATTTGCATTTTTTGCTCAAGTTTTGGCGTAAGTTTTGCTGAACTTTAATGACGAGCTTTCAGTTACAAGCTTTTTTTTTGCTCGTTCGCGACTTGGTTGTTAATTGTCGAAGTAGAAACAGCAGAAAGCGAATTTGAGCTTTTTTCGTCTGAACTATTATTGGCTTGAATCACTGCTAGATACGAAATGTTGTACCAGTGCGCAAATGACTTATTTATTCAAAGGCTATGGTATTCTAATTTAAGTAATGGGTTAATTTTTTTTTTTGGTAAATATCAAGGAAAAGTTAATAAAGGACAACCATTTGCTTCGTTTTGGCGCCATGCTATCGGAAAATATTAAATTATTAATGGAATGGAACCGCATAAACTCATCGTGAACGTAAATTTTATGGTTACTTGCTTTGGTATTAACAGCACACTTCAATTTTAACATTTTCTGTTACTGGTTTAACGTAATATGTTAATGGTTTAACATTATCTGTTAACGATTTAAAATTAACGGCAGCTTTTCATTTCGAGTAAAAACGAAATATAATTAATTTTCATAACCGCTTTAGTGATAAATTCTCGAAGTATTTCAACCGAAAAAAATATATTGTATATAGTGAAATATGGAATAAACAGTCTGCTTTGTTCAAGGATAATAACAGAAGCTATTTATAAGTAACAGCCATGTAGCATCGAATATTTTCACTGTCACATACATAACTTGATCATAATTTAACTGTAAAAGCCGTTTAGATAATATCATAACCGAACAAATTACTGAAGCTTTTTTCATTACTTTCCTGATAAGAAGCTCTGAAAATTAATTCCTTCTGGTACTTGATTGCAGTTTGATTTAGTTGTATACATTGTAGATGTTACGATTTTTTTAGAGAAAAGTTTTATTTATGGTCATTATAGTTGGCGAAAAAAAGTAAATTTTAATTAATATAAAATAATTAAAATTAGTCTAAGCAAAATAAAACAGAATAGGATAAAATGAATGAAAATAAAATATAAAAAAAAATTTAAATACAGTTGAATTTAAAAATAAAAAGTTAATAAAATAAAAAAATGTGTAGAAAAAATTTAAACAATAATCCTTGCTTTGATAATTTAACTTTAACAGATACCAAAATTAATATTGAAAATGCATTCATTAAAAAAAAATTAAATACAGTTAAATTTAAAAATAGAACGCAAATGAAATAAAAAATGGGCAAAAAAATGAACAAGTAAAAAATTAATAATTAATTAACCCTGTGTTTAAAAAAATTTAATTAATTAAAATTAGTATAAACAAGATAAAATGCAATTAGTCAAAAATGAAAATAACAAAAAAAAAAATTATAAATTAAATCAAAATTAAAAATAAAGACGAGGAAAAATATTTAAAAATTAAAAAGATTGAAAAGCAATTTAAGCAAAATGAAATAGAATAAAATAAAATGAAACAAAACAACTAAACTGAATCAAAAAATTGCATTGAAATAGATTTAAAAATTGAAACAAAATAAAATAAAAAGTTTTCAAATATTAAATTAAATTATATTAGCTAAAATTACTCTAAACAAAATAAGATAGAATTAAACAAAATGAAACAAAAAATTAAACTAAATAAAATAATTGAGTTGAATTAAATTTAGAAAAAAAATAAAAAATAATAAATATGTATTAAATTATATTAATTAATATTACTCCAAACAACAGAGAATAGAATAAAATGACGCAAAAAAAATAAATAAATTACATTACATTAAATTTAAAAGTAAAAAAACAACATAAATAAAAAAGTTTATTGAAAAATTTGAAACAATAAGCCTGGTTTTGGTCATTTAGTTTTGAAATGCGGGAGTTCTTAATCAGGTGGGTGCGTTTATTTTAACCATAATAACAACAACAAAAACTAAAAACCAAAAAGAATAAAAGAAAAAGTATTAGTTAAATTTAAATTAATTAAAATTAATCCAAATAAAATAAGATAGGATGAAATAAAAATAATCAAAATAAATCTAAACAAAAAATGTAAATAAATAAATTGAATTAATTTAAAAAAAGCAAAATAAAATACAAAAATTTATTGAAAATATAAAAACAAAAAACCTATATTTTTTTAATTTAATTTTCTATTTGAAAGAAATTCGAACAAAATTTTTAATGTGTATGCGTTTATATACTGTATTAATAATACGCTAAGACCGTTCAGATCGAAATATTATATCACGTAGCGCCTATACATCCATTTCTTCCGATAATCGATTTTTGGCCAGAAATCTTGCAATAAAAAGTTGAAGAAAAAAAATTGAAACGAATGATTTGGTGATTGTTACCTTAAGCTCGCTCTCATTTGTATGTACGAGTATATACACTAATATGTATGTATGTACATAGTGTGTTATGCTGCAATAATTCAGCAATAATATTTTCTCTTGTCTTTTTTTTTGTATTTCTTTTAATATTGTACAATATACGTGTACGAGTATGTATGTAAATAACATATGTACATAATGTAGTGAATCTCGTTTACTAAGCACTAAATTAATTAGTTATTAGTAATGGGCTAAATTAGCTAATATGTATAATATATGTATGTGCATACGTACATATGCATACATAAATTTATGAAAATTTATTTAGATACGTACGTATGCACACATATATATGTATGTATTTAATTAGGTACGTATGAATACATTAAATATTATTTATTGTTTTCACATATGTAGGCAAGTATATATTTATTATAAGAAAGTAAATATTTTTTATATGCATATTGTTTTATTTATACACATATTATTTGTCTTGGACATACATATTTACGTATAAACACAAATGCTTTTTATACAATACATGTACGAGTACGTATGTATATGTAAGCATAAACAAATATGTGCTTGCATGCCATATGAAATTGCAATGATAATTAAATCCCTTCCCTTAATTTCAATACGTAATTAAATTAGTTACTAATTATGTATATGTATGTTATATATGAATGACATATGTAACTATTATCTATGTTATATGGATTTGTGAACAGCAGTAGAATTATATATAACTGTCTTTTGTACGCATAATTTAATTAACAATTTTTTTTTTAACAATAAATTTACATTTAATTATATTAGATCTCCTCTGTTATTGACAGTTTGCATAACAACTTTGCTAATTTTGGGTTTATATATTAACTTAATTTTTTTAAATTTTTTATTTGTTAATTAATAAATTTTTTTTTAAATATTATTTATGCTTAGTGTAAATTTATCTATCATTTATATCATTTGAATATGTTGTATGCTGCTAAATATTTTTTTTACTTAAGTAATTATTGTCTAAAATTTGTTAATTTAGTATTATACATTCAATTCTTTTACCACTATTGCACTGTATTCTAATACTTCTACACACTAACACTTACATTTATGTTATTTATTTATTTTTACACTAACATTAATAATTATATTTATATTTATGCATATTAATTAATTAATTTCATATCTATTACATATTTATTTGTAGTCTATGCTAATATGTTTATGTGTTTGCATTTTCAAAAATATATATGTATGTATATTTAGCTTAAAGTAATATTAATTTTTTAATTTTCTTATAATTAGAGCAAAAAGTATTGTAAATTGAAGTCTTGCGAGCGCCAATTCAATAGCTCTTCCCTAACAAAGCTTTGCAAGAGTTTTTAAGAGCTTTTCGAATATGCCGCTCGCATAATTTGACCTAATATAATGCACTAAGTGGATTTTCTAATCAAACGAATACTTTTTCTGCTGCAAACACTCCACTTACCAATACACAAATACACACTCTACAAAGAACTAATATTCTAATATTTTCACTTTCTTTTTAAGGTTAGCTCTAAATGCACACTCCACAGATCAGCTCTTCCAGAATCGTTTTCTTTCGAAATAAAATTAACTTTTGTATATATATTTGACAACTCAGGCAACTGGTAAGTTCCTAGGGCTCATTAGGGTTCAAACCACAATCCATCGGCATCAAATATATTATTACTCATTTAAATAAAAACCTAACCTTCCTCCTTCAGCGCACGGAAAATAATAAATGAAAAGTTGCTTTGGCTTCGAAAACGTTTTCTGAAAGACCGATCTCATGTAGTTCCCTTACATACATAAAACTCTCAAACTCGAAAACTCTCTTTAACTCATCAACTCATCAATTCATCAACTCATCCCACAAGCAGTCCCCCACCACCACCACCACAAACACCTACTCTCCTCACGCTCCTCATAATACTTAAGTCATATGAAAGTCTCCTTTGAGTATGCGCGTAAACGTCTTCTTGAATTGTTGATTCGCTAGCGCATAACAAAAGGGATTCATCGGACTATTTGCGTAGCAAAGAAAATAGGAAAACATATACAGATGCTCATTGGTGCATGGTGGATTACGACAAAAGCCCTCCACCAGCGCGAGCACATGATAGGGCGTCCAACACGCCACGAAACAGCCGAGTATGAAAGAGATCGTACGAAATGCTTTGCGTGCACGATTCTCAGACTTTGATTTCTGCCTGCCGCCACCAATTATTAGCGGTATTTTCTTTTTGCTCTTAAAATGCTTGCCGATGGAGTGCATGAAATCGCGTTTACTCGAATTTCTACTGCTCGCTTCGCCACTGGGTTGCGTTTGTGATTTTATGCTTGACTGTTTGTTGTTGGTATTCGAAGTACTACTACTACTGCCACCGGTCGTACTTATACCAGCGCCCGATGCAAACACCGCACTTGTTGTGGTCGTCATTTGCACGGTATTCGAAGACACTGGCACTGTGGTTTCTACACATGACACCTCCTCCACTTTATTGGCGATGTTATTAGCAGTTATGGCTGTTTCTGACAATTCGCGTTCCTCGATTTTTTCCAGTTGCCCACCAGGTGCAAGCGTGTTGGTGACAGTTGTGGTTATTTGGTTTTGCAGCGACAGTGTCACTGTTGTGGTTGTGGTGATTGTTGGCGCGTTGGTCGGTGAATATGAGCGTTTTGTATGCGTCTCTAGTGGGCTCGAACTGCGTCGTATCTCTGTTGCTGTTACATTATCGGCAATCAACTTGGCGTGCTCATTAGCGCTGAGCAAACTGATTGCTTCTATGCAGCTTTCTCGACGCACTTTCGCAAAGTCCTCCATGCCTGTGTAGGAAACAAGAAGGTGACGTTCAATTTCGACAGTTTCAATGTCATTTTGAGGTTTAAATGTTGTTTTACCATTGGATGGAACGGGTGGATTGCTGGTTTCTGTTGGGGAAGCACGTTTCGCCGTTTTGGGCTTGCCGTGATGTTGCAATTGCTGCTGTGCAGCTACGGCTTTTTGCAGTGCCTGTTGCAATAACTTGGGATTTGTTACGACTTGGTTAGCTCGATCGAGATTTGCTTGCATCTCGGTACCATGTACCATGACACCGGCTTGTGGTAATGTTTGTCGGTGAGAGTTAGTTACGCTTCCATTAGTGGTGGGTGAGGCTAGCATAATGGAACTTTCATCCATAAACCGTAGATCCGAGTGATTAGTGAGCAGATTGTAAGTCATATTAAGTTCACTATTACTGCTGGTATCACCTAATGGGCGATCCGAATATTCGGAGAAGGGTGAGGGGCATTGGAATTGTTCGGGTGGTGGAAGTATAGCTTGTACCAAGCACTGCTGTACTTGGTCACGGGGTATCTCGATAGGGGCGATATCCACTGGAGAGAGTGGAGATTCGGTTGTCAATTTAGTGGCATTTCTTGAACGAGCACGAGACGGCACTTGTGCCGAGCCATGCTGTTCGTCATGTAGCTGCTCGGTTTCGGCAATTTGTGATAGCGCTGTACATGATGTACGCTTTAGGCGATCATTACTTGCATTCGATAATACGCTCACCTCTTCTTTACTTTGCGCACGTGTAAGCACACCACTGCGTGCCGTATGGGGAGATGTGGCAGTAACGGTAGAGGCCATTGCTTCATTGGATTTGGAAGAAATAGAGCATTGTGCTAAATTACCTTTACTACGGGTGGCTATCAGTGCGGCTTGCGCGCCAAAAACCAATCCGATTGACGAACGCTTTCGCAGATTGGCAAGTTTCTGTTGACTGGCTAACTGCTGAGTCTGGTTGACAGAGCTTTCCTCATCCGAGTCAAAGGCTGGACTACTCGAGCGCTCACTTTTCTCTGTTTCCCCAGAGCCACCGTCGCGTTTATTGTTATCTGCTTTACCTTCTGAAATACGACGTTGCTCATTGGTTCCATCTCCCGCTGAACCATTAATCGCTTCAGCTTGTGCCAATGGATTCATCTGTCCAGAGCCACGCTTCGGCGCGGCATCTTTGTTGGTAGTTACACCGATCTCGACTTGTGTTTTCAATATTTTCTCCTCGATTACACCTATACCGGCTGCATGACCCGCCATACCAGACATGGCGCCTGCACTTAATGCCACCATTGACTGCATCTTACGCTGCTTAGCTTCGCTACGTTTCTGCATTTCATAGGCGGTGCGATAAATACCGCCATACAAAACGAATAGAACCACCAGTGTAGTCCAATAATAGCCGATAATTAGAGCTGTGTTGAAGACAGGATCCTTGAGAAATTGCACAGCACACTGACCTGGCAGCAGATCGCGTTTGCCGGTGAAATGCTCCCAACCGAATATAGATATGAAGAATAGCAATGCTGGTATGATCCAGGTGATTGTAACCATATAAATAACACGCTTTTTAGTGCGCCAACCGCGATACCTGGCGGCAATTTTCACCGAACAATATCGATCAATGGTTATCAGCAATACTGTGTACTGCGAAGCCAAGCACACGGTATAGTCCACAGATAGCCACAGATCGCACAGCAGCGGACCCAAATCCCAATAGCCCATTAGCACATATATTGTGTAGAAGGGCATGGAAACTGTGCCTGAAAATATGATGTGAGTCTAAACATTGATTACAAATATCCTCACTGACACACTTACCGATTAATATATCCGTTGCGGCTAAGGAAGCTATAAAATAATTGCTTGGCTGTCGTATGTTTCTATCCACAATGAAGGCAATTAGCACGAGCAGATTGCCGCCAACTGTTAGTATGATGCATATAGATAGGCACAATGCTATCAATATGCTTTGCCAGAGTGCAAAAGGTGGCAGCACCTGCGACGGTGTCGGATCTCGCATAGTCGCATTCGTAAAATCCTCCAGTAAGCTATAGTTCAAACTACGGTTGTTGTAGTTTGCCAACAGGTCCAAGTCGATGTTGGCATTCCACATATTCAGCTCGCCATTATCACCGATGAAGGGATGATAGAGTTGGGCGGCCTCCAGTAAACGTTTGCACTCAGAATGTTCCACAAAACGGTTAAAGATTGATTTGCATATATTTTCACGCTCCTTCTTCTGCCGCCTGCGTAATAGTGGGATTAATGTAAGATTTATTTATTTCTTAGTCTCAAATTATTTACCATTGTGTTATGAAATCCGGTTTGATCGAATAAATTGGATCCGTTTTGTTGGTACTGCCAACCTCCAGCTCAATGTCAGTGTATTCATTATGTGTTGTTGTCGTCATGTTTTTAGTTTTTGGCCTGTTGTACTCAACGCTCCACGCAACTTCAGTCTGACCAGTGCTGTCAATGAGGGTTTGTATTTATAGTCCAGTCACTCTTCGATGTTATCAAAAATCTGCATCTAAACTGATTTTCGGAGGTAACACGATTAACTCTGCAGCCGCAGTCTGGCGTACGTCAATGAGTTGAACAGCAAGGACATGTGTGCGCAGTGATGGTCTGGCTCAAGGGTCTGCAATGCAAAAGAAGCAAATGTGTATATTCCATGTACATGTGAGTATTTTAGGCTTCTTTTTATACAAATATACCCTGCAAAGATTGAAAAACGGTAAAAATTTGAGAGACAAATAAATATGCAAAAATTATAAATTATAATTTAATTAATTGATAATAAATAAACTATGTACATATATAAATAGCTAAATAAATATTTATCTAAAGAAATCAATTCAAGGACATTGTTTAAATAGGAAATATCGATGTTAACAGCAAAAAAAGTGAAAACTGGAATGAATCAGGTGTCTAAGCTTGAAGTAGAAATGAGAGAAAGCTTATAATAAGGGAAAAATGATGTTAAATAATAAAAGGTATTAAAATAAGAGGAAGGTTGTAATATTTTGACATTTCACCAGCAAAAACTAGATCAGTAATAAAAATGAAACACGCTCCAACAACGCAATGAAATTATTAAGACTTACTATAAGAATGCTGAAAACCCGGCAAAGAGTGTTCGTAAAATAAAAATATTTTTCGGTCGTCCAGAGGCAAATTGTCTGTCCGCATTACAGAAATTAGTGAAAAAAATGACCCAGAAGCTTCATTTAGAAAAACTGAGAATATTACTGCTGTAGCCCAAAGTGTTGAAGAAAACCCAGGTTTGCTCAGTCTTCGTTGTTTTTTTGAATGGGGCATTCCACAACGGTCATTACACCGTATTTTGCATTAAAACTTGTGTCTTAAGGCTGATAAAGCTCAGTTAACACAAGAACACAATCCGGCGGATCATCAACAACGTCTTCTGTTTGCTGATTGGGTACTTGAATTGCATGAAAATGATCCGAAATTTCATCGAGAAATCACCTAGCCTGATGAAGGCTCAATTACACTAACTGTGTGTTGTAACTATCTCTTTTAGTGAAATTTAAGATCCGGCGGAGTCATTGGATCATACTTTTTCAGAAATGAGGCTGGAGCATCAATTACGGTGAATGGATAGCGCTATCGAGCGATGATTAATGATATTTTACGGTTGGAATTGAATGGTATTGATCTGGACAAGGTTCAAGAAGACAGACGTGGCACGCAAGCAATGAAAGCTTCGTTTTTTTTATTGGAAAAGTCTGCGGAACGTGTTATCTCTCAAAGAGGTAGTCGCAATTAACCACCAAGGTCTTGTGATTTAACGTCTTCTCTCCTTTGGGCCTGGTGAATGATGAGATCTACGTCAACAGGCCAACATCGATGCAAGACCTCAAAAATAGAACTCGTGAAGCTATTAAGTGCTTACATAAGTCTTTGCAAGTTAGCGATGGAAATTTATAAAAAGGTTACGGTCCTATAATCGTAGCAGAGACGGTTATTCGGCTTTTTTATTTTCCACTATAGAGTGCATATCTTCTTGTCTACATTAAAATAAATATCCCATCATTTATCTCAAAAAATTAAATTTGTCCGTTAGTATCGAAATGCCACCTCTTGTTGAATTTATTCAACGAGTCGTTTGGCTCTTGAAAGAGTTCGTGGGTGAACTCCAAAGGGGGGAAAATAGAGGTGCTGCGGAGTGGAGACCTGATAAATGTTTTGAGAAAGGTTTCGTTTAAATATATTGAGTATAGTGTTATGATATTGCTTTCGCATGACTAAAAAAGACGTGCTTAATTTTCATTGCTTTCTAGTGATATTTTCACTATAAATACCAGTGGACTCACGCCTTAGCCATCGAATGACCCCAACGACGTTTTCTTGGATCAACGAGCCAAGACGGTATTTTGGAACCGCTGAAGCCATTTTCTGCCAAGCTCCTCCTCCAACTTGTGGATTTGCGTCTCGATGTTTATCCAACAAATCGAGTGACCTGCAGTTTATACTAATCCGTCTCTAAACGGCTGATAGATTGTCATGAAATACACTCGGAGATGTTGAAATTCTTTGCCGAGGGTCGAGTGCAATGCAATTACCTTAATTTTTTTATTTATATAAATTTCAACATACCAATGCATTCATTGTTTTATGTTTCTTTAGAATCATTCGTCACTTAAGGGGTAAATCCATTTTAGGATTTTGGAAAACGCATATTTTTATTGCTCAATCAATAGCTCTCGCAAAAACTAGGATTACTTCTTCTTTCGAAGCCAACCATTTTTTAAATTTATTTTTTCTAGTTCCAAGCAGAATTTTAAGCTCTCAAAACTACACTTTTAATGTTATTTCCATAAAATAGCTGGCCAGAGAGGAAACAGTCATAACCGCTGTAAACTCTGCATATGACGTGAGCATAGCTCAATCCTCGGCTAAGTATATTGCAAAGTGAAACCATCTGCGCTACATAGAAGTGAACAGAACTAAGTCTTTACTTTGTTTAAACAGAAAATCCTTGAGCATAACAACCGGCGTAATAAACGGACATTGCGTTGTGAGGACTCATGGTAGAAGGATGGGCTACTTCTCAAGCGATTTTTACCGCAGCTGTAGGGACATAAATGAGGAGGAATCGATGGAACACTACCTCAGCCACTGCCCAGCTCTGAGTGCGAAACGTTAATGTTCTCTCAGAAATTTTTTCGCTGACTTCCTGCCATAATCTTGCATCTGTAAGCTTCAAAAGTCTCCCGGAAGCTCATAAAACACATCAAGTGCTCTGATAATTTGGAATGGTGAGAGGATTTTTCTTCACAGAATGAATACAGCTATCACATCAAGTCAGTAGGCTCAAGTGTGCTTGACTTACTAACTGACAAAATTTTCAAATATCAATATATTTAGATAAAATTTTTCAAAAACAAACAGTTATTACACCATTTCTTGAATTATCACCTAAACTAATAGACTGATTTGCATTCCAACGAAGATATAGCAAATCCAGTCAGCTGCTCATCGTCCTGAATTAGATATAAATTTTGGTGGGATTCGATGAAGTGTACTAAACAAATATATTTTGGTGCTTAAACATTTACAAAATTTCAAAATTTTCCACATATTTTTTTTGGTAGGTAGGTTTGTGTGCCTTTATTCATATTTGGTGGTTTTTGGACACATGGTCCCTCGCTTGCACCTTGTAAACTAGCTTGTTGTTAACTAATTTTTGACATTTACTTCTTTGCTTTCTTTATGAAAATTCTTTTCCCATATTTACTTATTTAGGTACAAATAAAATTTTTTAAAGGAAAAAATTATTATTTTTTATTATGTAAATATCAAATCCCGCCCACTGTATACGTATATGACGAAGTTGGTTCGGTGAACCTTGCGAAAAAGGCGAAACACGCCCATTTTGCTTACCTTCCGTCTATAACAGCCGAATGGAAGAGCTATATGCACACACGAGTTATCGACGCTACTGAGAGCGGCGAAACGTTGCCAGCTGCCAGTGTGTTTGCACACCTTTGAACAAATTTATAATTTTCGTCAACAAGTTTCATAATTTACATGTTCGAATATAAACGCAAATATACATACATAATCCATATGGTAACAAATAATTAGTAACGAATTTCGTTTTCATTTATTTTGAAAAAAAAACTACGCATTATCTTCGATTATTTAATATTACTTTAAAAAAGCCTATACTGGCAATCTGGTATAGCAATGAGCCGAGCCGGTTTTACGGAAAATATCAAATCGCCGTTGGTTTCTGCGGGACAACCGTCAGTAATGGCATGGACAAGCGGTGACGACTTTGTATGCATATGGCGCTCTCAAAAGAGAGGTTGCTATGGATGGAAGGTATGTAAGATGGGTCGGCAGCATTAATGCCATATAGCAACTACCTTTAAATTATTTATTATTTCTAATTCAAATGTTCTCAGCTGTCTAATTACCGTCGCCAGTCAGCTCCTTTTTTGAGGCACTGACTTCAGTTGTAAGAAACAATAAATTATTGAGATCCTATTAATAATATACATCAGAACAAATATGCAAGTTACCAAACAAGATCCCAAACTTTGAAGTCTTTCAGTTAACCAAAGCCAAAAATTATGTGTTTTCTGCTGAGTCAACTCTAGGGAGACGAAACTTATTATTATTTTGCGAGGAAATATAAAATTCCGCCGATAAATCCTCCAATTCAGAAACGCCTTCATGTAGGCAAAGTTTCTTCAGTATTAAAGAATGGTTCGATTACTTTGACACTGCAATCGATAGATAGATCGATTGAGTTATTTTAAAAAAGGTGATTTTTTAAGAGCTATAGGAAAGGTAAAAAAAATATATTATATATTTAAAATTCAGAAAAATGCATGAAATCTATATTTGAATCTATAGTACGGTCCATATAATTTAATGTTTGAAGATTATTTCATGCAAATGTTGACCATCCATCCATCCGCTTAGTCCAATTTTGGCATACTGTTTTCAACATTTCTGCCGGTATGTCGCGAATAAATGCTTCAATGTTGTCTTTCAATGCGTCAATTGAAGCGGGCTTGTCTGTATAGACATTAGATTTACCATAGCCTGATAAAAATTAGTCTAAAGGCGGTAAATCGCACGATCTAGGTGGCCAATTGACCGGTTCCGAACGTGAAACAAAATGTTCACCAAACTCGCCTTTTAATTAGTCCATTGCTACGCGTGCTATATGGCATGTGGCACCGCATATCATGCAAGTCAAGATGCATTTCGACAAAAACAAAATTTGATATCAGCTCACAATAGCGCTTACCATTCACACCTACGTTACGATTCGCATCATCTTTGAATAATAACAATGACGCCCCCAGCCCATAAACCGCACCAAACTGTGTTTTTTTCTGGATGCCTTGGTAGCTCTTGCTATGCTTCTGGCTGATCTTCGCTCCAAAATCGACGATTCTGCTTATTTAAGCAAAAATGAGCTTCAAAGTGCGCACTGAAGAAGCTAGTTTGTAAGATAATAGCTAAAAGATCACCCTTTATAGAGTGCCTTGAAGCTTATAAAACGGTTTGTTGGTGATGTTTCGAAAGTCCATGGACTTTTCTATAAATGTATAGCGACAGAGACAGCCAAGCCAGCAATAAAAAAGGCTGTATTTTCTCACAGTGGTTCCCACACTTATCTACTCGCCCTACTTTTTTAA